GAAGTGTTATTACATAAATTGAGACTGTTGTAAGTTATACATGTCAGAAAAGTACTAATGAAAGACAGAGTGCATCAAAGCAAAAAATCAAACGTCTTTTAAATGTGTTAAGAAACTAGAATCTATGGTACTTAAGTATAAAATACCTTGAATACTTGCTTAAATTGAGCACAGCTAGCTTATGTTACTATTGGGTTACTTGCGTAGTCGTTTTGAGAATTGAGTTGAATTGAGTAAGGCAGGGAATTAATTCTCGTCTGGGCCAGTCAGGTCTTGTTATGTTAAAAGCAATTTTAGCCCGGTCATTAACTGGGATGTACCCTGGTTTACGAGATAGCAATAAAAAAGGATAAAACTCATCATTGTTTTTTTATTGTTATATTGTTGTTGTTATAACAAAAAAGAAAGGTACTTAACTAAAAGAAAAAACTACGACTTTTTTTATTAATAATTATTTATTTATTTGCAACGCAATAGTAAAACTACAAAAATTGTAAGATAAGTGAAAAAAGGAGAAGTAGAGAAGAGACCTAATACAAACTATAAAAAGCTTAGGCCTCCTTGAACCACGCTCAATAATTGTTTACATCAAGTGATGCAGACTATGGCGGAAGGTCTAAGGCGGTGGAAATGATTTAAGATCGTTTTTTACATTTACTTATTAATTTAATCTTTAGTATTTTCTTAAAGGAGGAAAGGGATCGAGAGTTGACGACTTCGTTGTCAAGTGAACGTTTTTTTAGGAAAAAAAAAGACTGAAAACTTCCTAATGTTCGTTCGACAATAGGGTAGACGATGGGCTGGGAGTTTCCAGTATTGTAAGGGTGAAAATGATTTGGAAGAAATTTCTATAAAACCTTAGAGGTTATTAAAACATATTTTGCAAGAATACATAAATTAACCTAGTTGAAGCGAGTGGATATGGATACTTAGAAAAGGTCATCCCCTGTCAACGTTGCTCTTCTTGTTACGGTACCATTCCAGTTAGGAAAATACCTGAATTTGAACCAAATAATAACACTACTATTAATAATACCTATAAAATAAAAATTGAATAAAAACCCTTCCCCGTTATTTATAAAAAGAAATAAGTAAACATTTATGCGACGTATATGGAGTAGGAGCTCTCTATCAAAATCGATCAAACAAGACGCCGATGACTATAAATTCAAGGGTGTAGGCCTCAAGCATCCCTAATGATTAGAACATACAAAACAGTAACGAGACTATAAACGGGGGAAGGATGAAGACAATGGATGGCAGGAGCTGGAGAAACAAGACCATCCATGATCATGGCCAAGCGTAAGTACTTCTACTAAAAAAGCTGGGACCAGATTACTGGCATTGGAGTTAAAAGGAAAAAAATCAGGCAACCAAGGCAAAAACATAGATAAACTTGTACAACAGCGCTAAAATGACTGGCAGCGATTAGATCTTATTACAATGCCGAGCAATTAAGAGAGGAAACTAAGGACTATGACATACTGAGATGAAAATGTGACCACTGCCTCTTGACCTTAACACCCCTCCCCTTCCCTCTACTAATTACCTACAACTTTAAGCAACTGTGGCGTTTTTTGTCCATTGCTGTGATTATTAAACTGCTGTGTGGTCATTGAACTGATGTGTGTTCACAGGGCCGTAGCCAGTATGAGGCAAACCGAGGCACTTGCGTCACTTATTTTGAGTGTGTTATCCCAGTGTTGTTTTACAGTGTAGTCATCATTAAAACTCTAAATAAATAGGAAAAGAATTTAACCATGGGCATTGCCTTGGTCATATTTTTTTTCTGGCTACGGCCCTGCAACTTGATCTGCTGTGTTTTTTCCTCCCCCTCAATACTTGAACGAATAAACATAAACAACACCAACACCAGAAGGCTGTGATTACTGAACTCGTTTTGTGGTCTTTGAAATATTGTGTCTTCTCTGAACTACACTTACTGACTGAAAAGAAAAGTAAAGCAAATGGATATGGATACTTAGAAAAAGTCATTCCAATACTATGTCAGTAATCTGTTAAACTATACGTCAGGTGCTTAGATTGACTGGCCTGGCTCATTAGTTCTGAAGGGAAGACGTTAAAGGAACTGAAAGAAGTCAATTCATAGAGCGAGTTCATAGAGGACGTAAACTTAATGCCAGACGAAAATGAAAGAAATCGCATCATTTCTGTTTCGCACACAAAATGAGATTTTAAGGCGTCACGATTTTACTTTCATCTGATCACCTACTGGATCAATTAAATATTGGCACTCACTGAGTTTTTAAAATTTTCAAAATTGCTGTAATAAAGTTGTAATTGAACTTCGTGTCGTGCAATTTTGGTCTGAAATCAAGCTTGTGATTTCAAATCAAACTCTCGCTGTACACTCATCTGATTTTAAAATCACGCGCATGATTTCAGACCAAATTCACTCCACTTAAAGGTTTAGTTTAAACATTGATGGTTTTCACTGTCACGCCATCAAAAATTAAAATTAAAAACGATAAATTCCAGAATCTGAGAAATGAAATAAGATTAATATAGAAAAACGCTCGCCAAGATTCAGGTCAGTGTGATTTTTCACATGCGGAACATTCCAAGAATTTATTTACCCAAATTTATAGAGCTTTCTATAGAGACGCCATGTTGGTGCCCATCCGAATGGGCATCAACATGGCGGCCGGAAACCAGCAGAAGCTTCTGTCACTGAGTTTTGCTATGAAAGCGTGAATTCATCTCTCAAGGAACTTATAAACATTACATTAGTACCTTTCCTAATAAAATGACTGTTAAAATGGCATAATCCCCCAAAATAAGTCACTTTTTTAACCTACTGTGACAGCTCTGACGCCCGCCATCTAGATGCTGCGTCACGAAAACGCTTAGTCAAGCGTACTGTACCACAAAACGAAAAGCCTTTTCGAAGTGAAAATTTGTGTAAATTTCATTTTTTAACTGCTCTAGTACTTCATGAAAGTAAAACCTTAAAAGGATCGATAGCCAAATGGGTCTATAAAACCCGGCACGCCCTAGTCGCCTGATTGTGCGTCGCCCAGATGAAATATGAGATAAACTCTACATGGAATAATTCTTGTTATCTTAGGTTATACTTATAGCATATTCTTACATAAAAGATAAGATGCAACGTAACTTGAAGCTTATGATATTACACGTGAATCGGCATCAAATATCAAAATCCTGGATCAATTTAGGTTTCTGGGAGACTGCCCACCTACCTCTCCCCTATGCTAACATTAACACTTACTTCTTACTTAGGGCAAAATGATGGCTTAGGGGAAGGGTAGTTGCGCAGTTTCCCCAAAACCTAAATTGATCCAAAATCCTGTTTGTGCCAAATATTCAATATATTAAACCTCTTGCTTTTTGTAGTTTAGTGGCCGACCCATGGTGAAGGGATCGGAAGGCGGGTCGCCCCTCTCCTCTGAGAACAGCAACTTCTGCGAACCGAAAAACAAAAAAGGGCAAACAATTTCCGTAACCTAACACCTTTTGTTTCGTTGTGGACTAATCAAGTAAGCCTTAGCATAATCGATGTGATGTTGATAGGCTGTCAAACAATGATCAATTGTTTCGTTTTCGAACATTGACGTCATGCTATGCTATGCTATGCTTTGCTATACTTATCCCTACTTCAAGCATAGGCGATGCCTCCATAACTATGCTTCCAAAACACTCGTTCTCCGGCCATTCCGGTAGACATATACGCAACTCTGTGACAACAATTTGGTTTCTATTCCTTATAACCGGAAATTTATCACATTTATTTTAAAACCAGTGATGAATTATTTCATTTTCGAGCGCAGCTGTCATACCATATATTTCCTCACTTGAAGCAATGCTAGGCCATACCCCTCGACTGAGCTCTCATGAACTAGCTTACACAACTCCATTGAACACATCAAGATTCCTGTGAGTACAAATTTCTTTTCTTTTCCTTATCATTTATAGATATTTAGGCATAACTTACTTTGTATCTATGCTATGTAGTTAAAATTGGTCGACAAAAAGCAATAAACAACTGAGGATTAAATGGATGAAGGGTACAACAATGATTGTTGCAATTGTTCTATATAATTTTAAACTGTTTTATTTAAATAGCGTAATTTCTACTAACATTCCAGTCATTATATAATCTGTAAAATCACGATAATTGCATTCAGTTTCCACAGAATTATGGTGAATGTCCTCCTGATTATGATCAATATTTTATTGCGCAGAAACTGAAATGGAGTAAAAACGCCCAGCAGGCACAATATCGCGTCAATCGCCTCCTTCAAGCGTCAACTTTCTTTCAGGTTTATTTACAATTATAAATTTTTTTACATCCTAAAGCACTTAAAATTCAAACCCACAGAGGAGAAATATCAGGCTTTAGTAGAGTTTTACTTTGACGTGCTGTCACAACTCGACTCTGACCAGGGCATCAACAACAACAACAACAACAACAACAACAACTTTATTTGTACCCAACAGTATACAGAAATATTGGCGAGGAGTACAGCCTGCCCCAAATAACCATAGGAGCTAAAGAAAAGTGGCATCCATACTTAGGTAATTTATCTATAATCATTTGGGTCAGATATCACACACACACACACAAACACAAAACACACACGCGCGCATGCGCACTTAACACTAAAACAAACAAAGCGGTTGAAGAGCAGGATTTAGGTATAAACGAAGCACCACGGAAAAAGTTCAATACAGTTTCACGACTTTTTGAATAAAATCGCCTGCTTAAACAAGAGTCAGTGTGCATAGAACAGGGGCACCCAGAGACTGGTTTCTCCTAAATACCTTAAAACCTGTATAAGGCCATCAAGACTGATAATTTAACCTTAACCATACATTCTAAAATAGCCAGCTTTGTTAAGGTTTTTTCTGTACGGTTATCCCGGGCAAATTTAGCTTTCGAAAAATATTAGGGTTTCTCATTATTACGTTTTGGTTCCTGATCAATTAGCTATTGTTATAGTAACGTTTTACGAAAACGA